GTGTGTGTGTGTGTGTGTGTGTGTGTGTGCGTGTGTGTGTGTGTGCGCGTGTGTCTCACACTCTCTCACCCTACAGATGAATTGCTTCCAGTCACATTTGCTGTTTGTATCATGACGTATTGTACAGATGCATAAAGAATGAATAACAACACAAATATCTCATCGTTCTTCGAGTGTTTTCAGGCCCAAATATCTCAAACTATTTGTTGTTCAATTAAGACATTTGGGGGGAAATATCATGACAGTATTTAAATGATTATGGGACACTGAAACACAAACTATACGTTTCTTTAAATGCTCACTGATGCTGATCTTTATTTAACGTTTAGATCAACTTGCAGCTGCCTCTTTTCTCCAGCTGTTGATTTTCTGTTATTTCAACAAATATGTGTTGAAATGTGTGTGTGTATATATATATGTATATATATATATATATATATATATATATGTAAATATTTATTTTCTTACAGTGCAACCAGTCAGCATCTCCTCTCGCTTCTCCTCTCCAGCGAGAAAGGCACGCTTGGTGCGGGGGGCGTGGCTACAGCAGGGGGAGCCTCACGCAATTGGCGGAGGCAACCAGGGGGGAGGGGGGGGGAGCGTCCACCAATGAGGAGGAGCCTCGCGAGGCGGCGGTCCAATATAGGACCTGGAGGCGAGCAGCATCTCTATTATAGAAGTCAGTGTCAGGCGGAGAGGAGACAGGAGACCCGCAGGAGCGCAGGAGTTACCTCTCCTCTGTTTCCGGTTTGTTTTTTAATCCGACTCTACCACTTTTTGGGGTTTTCTTCTTCTTCTTCTTTTTTTTAAAGAGAAAAATCTCCCAAAGACGGAGCTGACCCAGGAAGACGTACAAGGACCCCCCCACTTCAGATCCGCAATCATGATGTCAATGAACAGCAAGCAGCCTTTCAGTATGCACCCGATCCTCCACGAGCCCAAGTACAATCCTCTGCACTCCAGCTCGGAGGCGATCCGCCGGGCCTGTCTGCCCAATCCATCGGTGAGTCCGACGCGTCTGTGTCCTCCTGCAGCTCCAACCCAAAGCTCCACAGTGTGAGGGGAACACTGGAGAAATGACTCGGTCTGGTCAATGTGATAACTTTTACAAACGATTAGATGTGACACCTTGTGATTCTCTCTTAATGTGTTTCAGTTAGAATATGGAGTCCACATCAGTTGACAGAATATAACTAAAATAAAAATCGTATTTGTGTTACTAAAGTCAGAAAACAGACGAGGTGTCATGTTTGGACACAGACGGGTTACAATGTAACTGCCAAAACAAACAAACAGAATATCAGATGAGATATTGAATTCAATATAATGGATATGATGGAAAGGATCAGGCAGCACCAGCGGCCCAAATAGGGCACGAAGTCGGTGCGTAAAGACGCGCAGACGCGTGTGTGAGAAGCCGTGAGTGTGAGTCATAAAAGAGGATAAAAGATGAAGGAGGAAGAGGATTCTCTGAGCGCGCGTTATCTCATATTTTCTCCATTCATATTCAAACTGGTCTCATTTCATTGTCCGTAGAAATTATTCAGGAGATCGTAAATATGAATTTTAAATGAATATCCATCCACGCTGTCTGACACACGCACGCTGATGGAGCTGCGTTAGATTTCATTTTCTGAGAATCAAGAAAACGAATTTAATGTCACGTGAATTTTTATATTTTAATTATTGTCTGAAAATAATTCGGCTGTTTTATTACAAAGATAATCGAACAGTTTTCACGTAAAATAATACAACGTTTTGTGATATTTAAAGTAAAAAAATAAATAACAACTTTTGATAATCAGGTCTGAAGATTTATGTATTTTTGTTGCTCATCATTTTGAATTAAAACTTAAATTTATTTATTTAGTTTTCCACATAATTTCAACATTAATGTATTTCCAAATAAATTAGAATAATCCATATTTAAGATTAGGATTATTATTGGATATGGAAATATCAGTAGATGGTTATAACGTGTTGATTTGCTCTAACCGGCTCGCTCCGCTCCTCCGCAGCTTCAGGGCAACATCTTCGCCGGCTTCGATGAGACTCTGCTGCAGAGAGCCGAGGCTCTGGCCGCGGTGGACATCGTGGCCCAGAAGAGCCACCCGTTCAAACCGGACGCGACGTACCACACCATGACCACCATGACCAGCATGGCCTGCACTCCTAACTCCTCCTCCGCGCACCTGCACCACCCGTCCGTGCTCACCTCCCACCACCACCCGGCGCACCACCAGTCGGCTCAGGGCCTGGACGGCGACCTGCTGGACCACCTCACGCCGGGCATCTCCCTGGGAGGCATGACGGGCTCGGACGTCTGCTCCTCGGCCTCGCACACACACGCCGCCCATATGTCGGCCATCAACCACATGCAGCACCACCACCACCACCATCAGCAGTCCATGAACATGCACCAGCACGCGCTGTCCCACAGCTCCCTGGGGGGCGGCGGCCTGGACTCGGAGCCGGACCCGCGGGAGCTGGAGTCGTTCGCCGAGAGGTTCAAACAGAGGCGGATCAAACTCGGGGTGACGCAGGCGGACGTGGGCTCGGCGCTGGCCAACCTGAAGATCCCCGGGGTCGGGTGTCTGAGCCAGAGCACCATCTGCAGGTTCGAGTCCCTGACGCTGTCGCACAACAACATGGTGGCCCTGAAGCCGATCCTGGAGGCCTGGCTGGAGGAGGCGGAGCGGGCGCAGAGGGAGAAGATGTCCAAGCCGGAGATCTTCAACGGGGGGGACAAGAAGAGGAAACGAACGTCCATCGCGGCCCCGGAGAAGCGCTCCCTGGAGGCCTACTTCGCGGTGCAGCCGAGGCCCTCGTCAGAGAAGATCGCCGCGATCGCAGAGAAACTGGACCTGAAAAAGAACGTGGTCCGGGTTTGGTTTTGCAATCAGAGGCAAAAGCAGAAACGAATGAAGTTTTCTGCGACGCACTAAGACCATCACTGCTGCTGCACACTGTCAGAGAAACAAGGTACACCGTTGGGCCTGCTGATGGTACCGGACCTGTCCGACTCACAACCATTCAACAACATCACACCTTACCGAGTCATCTGGTCTCTTAGTCTGAAGCATGAGACGCGTCTGATGCCTCGGGCTGAACCCTGGACTAAACGTCTTGTTGCGTTCATCACAGTGTTGCAGGAGGAGAAAGTATTCAGAGTAACTGGTTTGGACCACTGACCTCCACTGACCTCCACTCAGTAAAACAGGAACCTTTCCTTGTTTTTTCAGCCTCGTGCAGCTTCATTAACAGCTGGATTCAACGGTGTACCTTTTTATTATAATGCTGACGGTGGAGACGGAGCACCGGGACCGGGACAAAGACTGAGACCCTGTCCAAAAACTTGAGACTCTCAAATGTTGATGCTTCTCCGCAGAGATCCGCGAGATCACCATCAGTTAAAAAAAGAGGAGGAACAACCGTCTCATCCATTCATACGACAATTATTGTACAAAAAAATAATAATACGCATAATAATGACGGGAATCCTTAGTCGGAATAGCTTTTTTATATTTATCATTGTACATATCTGTGAATACGTTGTACCTCCGTGTGTGGAAAAGCTCATTGAAATGTATTGGCTCTTTTCTCCCACGTGTTGGTTTCTATCGGGAATTCAGTTTTTTTGTTTTGGTTAATTCTTTTTTTTTG